GGGCTGTACATGGCACGTAGTCAGAAAAATGTTTGATGAGCTAATGAATGAATAAAAGAATATATGTAGCTGGAGCTACAGCAGTGATGACGATCTCTCAGAGATCACGCAGAAGAGGGAAGTAAGCAATGTCTGTATTAAGAGAGGAGCCCACAGAAGAAGAGGCAGAGAAATGGGAAGGTTATAGTATGAAAAGCTACCAAGACGCTACTGAAATAAAAACTCCGAAATACCAAGCCTCAGTGATTTCCGGGTCACAGGCCCCTCTGAGTATCTGACCCCGCCTGGAGGGGCACCTATGCCGTGACCCTGCGCTGTGTCAGAGGGCCCTCTGGGTCCCTGTCCTGACCTGAACACTCGCCGGAGGGCCTGAGGCCACAGGCTAAGCATCCCTGCTTTACAACAGCCACAGGATTTGGAACCAAAATACTATTAGAACTGATAAATGAATTCAGTACAGTTGCTGGATAAGAAATCAATTGCATAAATCTGTTGAGTTATATACACTAATAATGACTAGAAGAAACAGAAATTAAGAAAACAATCCCCTTTACAATTCCATCAAAAAGAGTAAAATACTCAGGAACAAATTTAACCAAGGACATGAAAGATCTGCACTCTGAAAGCGGTAAAGCACTGATGAAAGAAACTGAAGACAACACAAATAAATGGAAAGATTTATGCTCATGGACAGGAAGAATTAGTATTGTTAAATTGTGCCTACCACCCAAAGCAATCTACGGATTCAAGGCAATCCCTATCAAAATACCAATAATATTTTCCATAGAACTAGAGCAAAAAATCCTAAAATTTGGATGGAACCACAAAAGAACCCAAATATCCCAAATCAATCTTAAGAAAGAATAAAGCTGAAGGTATGACACTCCCAAGAACAGAGCTGAAGGTATCACACTCCCTTATTTCCAACTATACTACAAAGTGATAGTAACCACAACAGTATGATACTGGCATAAAAACAGACACATAGACTGATGGAACAGAACAGAGAGCCCAGAAATAAATCCACACTTATGAAGTCAATTAATCTACAACTAAGGAGGCAAGAATATACAATGAAACTGGACCACTTTCTTAAACCAGATACAAAACAGATGGTGACTACACTTTTCAGTGAGCATCTTGTAACATATATAAATATCCAATCACTGTTGTACAACAGAAACTAATATTTTGTTAACTCTTCTTCAATTAAAAATTTAAAAAAATTTTTAAAGCAATTTACCAGATCTCAAAAAGTTCAAATGGATTCATACATACACTCAGTCTTTGTCCCTGTTTCTGCCAGAGCCTCTGCATTCTTGGACTTTCCTAAGAGATACAAGCAAGGAAAGTGTCTTCTGTTGTTAACGAGGTAACTTTTGAAAAGCTCGCAGGGAAGCCTTAGGATGAAGCCCTTTGCCAGGGGAACCAACCACGCGATGAGACCGTCAAGCTTTTGGTCCTCTCCTACCTTCTCCTGTCCTCCCTGAAGCCAGGGCATGGGGAGAAGAGAGCCTAAACACTGAGCTTACAGACCAATGGCCAATGATTTCATCAATCACGCCTATGTAATGAGGCCTCCATAAGTACCCTTTAGAAGGACAGGGCTCTGGGTCAGTGAACGTGTGGACTTCAGCGTGCCAGGAGAGTTTGGAGGGGGTCATCTGAAGCCCAGGGGCTGGCACCTGAGGCAGTGAGGGCAAGTCATGTGGGCACTGATCCCTTAACTTGCAGAATCTGACCCTACCTGCAGGGAGACAGAGTCAGAACTGAGTTAACCAGTTGGTGGTAATGGAAAAAAACACACCTTGAATGCATACTCAGTCTTAAAAGTACGAACTACTTGACAGCAAGAAACAATAATTCAGCATAGAGAGGTGTAAAAATAAAAGATTTTTCTCTTTTATCTAGCATTTTTGGTTATTTTCAGGAGGAAGGTTCATCTGAATTAAGTAGTTTACAATGTTACTGGAAACACAACTCAGTGTTAGTGCTTTTGTCTACTGCTCTTTTTTAAAAAGAAATGCCATGCCAAAACACTGGAGGAATTAAGCCAAAATACATGTGAGGAGTGGAACTCCAAGGTCTGAACTGAGTGAAGCCAGAACTCCGAAGGCATCCTCCAAGCTAGAAATCGAGCTGTGGTTTTCACTGCCAACAATCCCAGGCTGCTGGGAGACTGGAGGTCCTGCAGACCAGGCTCTCAGGGAGCTGGGACCCAGGAGGCCACGCCTCAGGGCGAGGGTGGGCCAGGAGCGAGTCCGCCCTGAGCGCCCCTGCCCGGGGAAGCCACCTCGGTGCGGGGCGCAGCAGATGGGGGGACCTGACTGCCGAGGGGCCGTTGCCACAGGCACAGCCCTCCACGGGTCTCCAGCCCAGACTCCCGGAGCTGCAGGGGCCCAGAGGATAGACCTCGTCATTGCAGAACTCTGTTGCCCACCTGCCAGGCAGCGCCCCCAGGCACCCGGCAGAAGAAAACACTAAACTCTGCCAGAGAAATACACCTTCATCATAAACCTCAAAAATGTCCCAGAAGTAATTTTCTAAGAAAAACTAGTAGCGCAGTCAAATATAGTTAAACACACAGAAAAGCACCATGAGCAAGAAACAGGAGAAACATAACAGAGATGGACTCCAATAAATATTCAGTGACTAAAATAGTCAACGGTCTTTGAAAGCAAGCACAAGGGTTTGGACTGGAGGCAAGAAGTCGCTTTATGTTTGCGAGCCCTGCAGTGACGCAGTGGAAATGGTGTTTTATGAAGGCAACTTTGGCTCCAGTGTAAGAATTAGACGGCAGGAGATGGCAGAGCTCAAAAAAGTAGATGAATGCTTGGACTATATGAACGGAAGTATACAAGGAGGGGAAAACGATATTCCAGAAGACATACTAAAGAATGAAACAAAAGGATTTTGTGACCAATATTAAGTTTACCAAAAAAATTTACTAAATAACTGTCATATACAGTTAACAAAAAAGCACCACCCATCTATTCCACTGCTCAACTCAGAAACCTAGAACAATTCTTCACAGCTCTATCCTCAGCAGGTATCACAAAATCCTTTGAATTCAACACTAATTTCAGATTTTTCAATTTCTTTTGCTATTATTACTTTTATATGAAGTACTGCACAGTCTCCTGGCTGGTCTCTTTTCCTTCTTACAACCTTCCTGTCTCTCTATACAATACTGAGACCAGATGGCTTAAAATGAGAACTTCATCATATTTCCATGCATGAAATCCTTCAACGGAGTCACGTGCAGGTGGAATACAACCCCAATCCTTGCCACACCCTGTAAAATGATCTGGGCCCTGCCTACCTCCCTAACCCTGTCTTCCTCCTACCTTGCCCCAATGCTGCATTAACCATCTTTCATTTCCTGAAGTACACTAAGCTGAAGAGAGAAATGAGGGAAAGGTTTAAAAAAAAATCCTTTAAAAAAAATCAGTTTTCTAAACTAAAACACTAGAAAAATGATGGCTCTAGAGACAGAATGACAGTGCTGAAAAGACCAATCAAACAGGGGATGTTAGAAAGAGTAGTTTGGGGCAGGGAGAATCTGGGGTAGGGGCATGCACACCACCCAAAGGGAGACATCACTCAGATTGGTGCCTCACAGGTCGTAAGCCCAAGCCTGTAAGTGGGCCAGAGAATCTACTGAGTGACACAAAACTAGCATTTCTGCATCTTTTCTTTAGCAGAAAAGAGGAATACGTGTCACGTAGTATGGTTTAGTATTATTTAATGAAACTTTTGTTTCAATTATATATACACATCAATACAAAATGGTTTCTTGCTATGTGTGACACTCAGTGAAAAGAGACTACTGGAGGGCTGTACATGGCACGTAGTCAGAAAAATGTTTGATGAGCTAATGAATGAATAAAAGAATATATGTAGCTGGAGCTACAGCAGTGATGACGATCTCTCAGAGATCACGCAGAAGAGGGAAGTAAGCAATGTCTGTATTAAGAGAGGAGCCCACAGAAGAAGAGGCAGAGAAATGGGAAGGTTATAGTATGAAAAGCTACCAAGACGCTACTGAAATAAAAACTCCGAAATACCAAGCCTCAGTGATTTCCGGGTCACAGGCCCCTCTGAGTATCTGACCCCGCCTGGAGGGGCACCTATGCCGTGACCCTGCGCTGTGTCAGAGGGCCCTCTGGGTCCCTGTCCTGACCTGAACACTCGCCGGAGGGCCTGAGGCCACAGGCTAAGCATCCCTGCTTTACAACAGCCACAGGATTTGGAATTAGAATTCAGATGAATGTCAGGAGAGAGATTTCAACGGAGGGGCAAGGAGGGCACCCCTCACACTAGGCTGAGTAGCCGCAAGAAGAGCAAACGGAGAGGTGAGCCAGGTGAGCTCTTGGAAAAAGGAACACACAGGAGCGGGGAAGCTGAGAAGGTCCAGAGAAGGTATTCTTAAAATCCAACACTAAGAAAGTTCACTTCCAAGCACAGTGGAGTGACTGCAGTCACAAAGGGTACAACCGATACGAGAAGAGGATTCTGTTTTGCCAGAGAAGCCTCTGTTTTGCCACATTAAATTTTTCTTTTGACTACACGATTTGTTGTAACTGTTCCCCATGACTATTTGATAGGTAAGAGCTTAGGTATCGGTTACACAGGCATTGCACATGCGATCGGCCAGCAGGAATGCCTGGTACTGACAGCAGCCCCCCAGAACGAACATCTTCCAGTAACTTCAAGGGGTCTCCTATAAGGAAATTCAGCTTTACTACAGTAAAGGGAGTTGTTTAAGATCAGTGTTGCTTATACACAATCTCCCATAGGTAAAAGAAAATACGCATGCCCTGAACAAAATTTTTTTTAATTTTTTCAAATGTTAAAAGCTAGTATTTTATATCTAGGAGTTCAGTTTTTAAAAACCTTTTTTGTTTACCTGTATTTTCAGACTCTTCTGGAATAAATATGTATTACTTTTGTAATTTTTAAAAAGATAAATGTAATTGACAACTCGGATAACTACATACCATGGAACTGAGCTCCTAAAACAGTCACACCATCTATCACAGACTGTGAAAGTTTCTCACTGCTGGGCCTAGGAAAGAAAAGAAAGAAAATACTACATTGCATCCTGAAATTAACAGAGTTGCTAGTTCTGAAAGCAAATGCAGAAACTACATGCTACAAATTTCAGAGTAAGTTCACTCTATTTGCACTGAAACCTGTCAACTCTGAAAACATGAGTAAAATTATGCATTTTCTAGTAGCCTTTCACAACACATTTCTTGGGAAGACTTTGGCTTTTAAATGAATTTAGCAAATAGATATAAAGGATATAATTATACCATACCCAAATACCTTTTCAAGTTTGACTATAACAACATACACATTGCCTAAGAATGGTTATAGTATTTCATGTACATAGGGTGCTTAATTCAGTACTGGCTATTAAACCTCTAAGGTTACAGAACTTATATTTCATTTTAAAAAGTCAGAAAAAGTACTCATCTATTTACAAATAAAGCAGATCATTATATAACTGCCTTGTAGAAAAAGATGCTGTATATCCTTTAAACTAGTTAAAGTAAGACTAAAAAACATGTGGGATGGCTTTATCGTGGGACAGTAATTTGCTTCAGAATTTAAGTCACTTGGCTATTTCTGCTATCTATAAATCCACAATCAGTGGTGTCTAGAAGTCCCTCTGGTAACACCCTGAGGGTAAAACACCAGTCCAAGCCATCAGGAGATTGAGTAGAAATTTCCTTTACAAAGAATTTCTGGCTAAAATCAGATCTTAAACAAAAAAGACTGATTCTGTTTCAAAGTAAACTTTTAATCTAACATTTCATGAAAATATATTTCTGTAAAGAAAGGCAAAAACCGAAAAATGACAAAGTAGCCGCCTTTATCCATGGTTTCACTTTTCAGTCAGTTATCCACAGTCAACCACTCTGGAAGCAGAAGATCCTCCTGACATATCCTCAGAACATCAGCAGTAACCAAACTCTACATCACAGTGCCTACCTACATCATTCACCTCACTTCAGCTCGCCATGTAAGCATTTTATCACCTCACATTATCAAGGGTGGGTACAGCACAGTAAGGTATTTTGATACAGAGACCACATTCACATAACTCGTACTACAGTATAAATGGTTCTATCTTATTAATTATTGTTGTTAAATCTCTTAATGTGCCTTATTTATAAATTAAACTTTATCATAGGTATGTATTTATAGCAAAAAAAAAATAGAACATATACGGTTTGGTACTATGCAGTCTCAGGCACCCACTGGGTTCTTGGACTGTGCCCCCTGCAGATAAGAGGGGACTACTGTGTGTTGAAGTAAGGTAGATAATGTTTTCCAGTGCACTGGAACATAGGGAAAATGATATAAATATATGAACCAACAGTAACATATATTACAAAGAAAATCTCTTAAAATAATGATTTAAAATCATGTGTTGTTACTGTATAGGGGAACATACTAAACCTACAGAAGTAAAGAGATGGCAGACATTTGTTAAGTGTTTCTCTCATGCCAAGAAATAGGCATTTTACATACATGATTTCATGAATGTAAAAACCTCACAAAATCCCTGTGCTAGGCTTAGCAACATTTTATAGATGACCATAATAGAAGCTCCAAAAGCAAAGTAACCTGCTCAGATCACACAGTAAGTGCTAGAGATAGAATTCAGACTCTAAAACCCGAGTGGCAGTAGTGACTTTGCTCCCACATCCAACTAAAAAGGCCTGGTAGGCGGAGGAGCCAAGCAGGACAGCTCCGCTTTACCGCCTTTCACTTGTCACAGCTACTAAAATGGAGGCGAGCACTTCTACTGGGCCCCCACAGCTGCTGCCATCAGAAACTGTGACCATCACCTGGTATCTCTCCCCATCACTATGAAGGCATTGCGCTGCAGGTCCACGGCTGCTTTCTCCGTGATGGCCACCAGCACTCTCTGCAGATCTTGCTGCTCGGCATTTGCCAAACAGGTAGCATGTTCCTCCCAGGATGGTGCCAACATTTCACCCGAAGGATCAACCAATTTTACACCATTGTCTTCCTTAAAAGAAAAACAAACCATAAGCCATGTGTGCATATTCACAGGGTGAGCTGAGGCAGGAGACCCAACCTGTTCACCCCCAGAGGGAGACAGCGATGGGCAGGTGGCTTCACTGGGACCACCAGAGACTCCCAGGTACTGGGCAGGTTGCTTAGACACATTACGTCAGTAAATCCTGACGACACACATATCAGCCTAGCTAATAATCCTATTCAGATTCTGAGAAGTAATTTGTTTATGGTCATACAGCCAATAAATGTTAGTGCTGATATTAAAACATCAAGTCTATATGACTCTTAGTTAAACACAATGGCCACTCTACTACCCTAGCTTTTTAAAAAGGCTGCCACCGATGCATCCACCATCAGTTAGCTGGCCAGGGCCCAACCAGGGCAGCGCGAAGCTCCTGGAGATCCTTCTCACATTGGCCCTGGACTCCAAGAACATAGCAGCCAGTGTGCCAACCAGTGGGTGGCAGAGAGGCTGAAAACTGCCTCCCAATTCTATTCTGCTCAAATTTCTGGAAAAAAAATAATGTAGTTCAGTGTGAATGTCAACAGAAGGAAACAGCTCAGAATTATTTCAAGAAGTACTTCTGGAACTAGCAATAAATGCGGTTTTATGCCTTCAAGTCATTGGTGGATTATGATGATTTAGATACACATTTATAGTGATCCACATTTAGAAGATGGATAAGCAATGACCTCTTATTTGAAGGGAAAGAGGTGGTCACAATCCTTCACTAACTTACACAGCTTTAAATTGCTCCTGAATTTGCTACAAGGGCAAAAATCTCTCAAGTAATCAAACAGAAGCATATTATGCAAACCATGTTCTAGTGAGCTGTAAACAGTACCGGATATAAGAGTTAAATTGTCGGATGATCAGCTATGGAAGTACATTTTTCTGATAAGATTCCTTTCTCTTAAAAAATAAAAGCAGTTCCTGTGTGGTGGTCTCCAATAGGTTCTTCACAATGGTATAAAGGTCATATCAAAGTGTGGACAAAGGGTTTGTCTGTGTTTATACAGAGGATCAAAGCCTAATTTGGCTACCCAGAAAACGAATTAAGATACAATATGAAGAAGAACTTCCAACATTCATCCTCTGGAAGAGTCATTCCAGAAGATGATCATCAAAAACTTCAACAAAGATCCTGGCACTGTTGCAGTTGTAGCTGCATTCATCCCACCGGTTCCTGAACTTGCCATTGGAATGAAGGAGATATCTAAGTTGGCCTGTGCATACAGTAAAACAACAAATTTGACTGGATCTATATTGTCGGAACTCAGCCAAGAATTAGGAGAAGTGCAAGTTGCAGTACTCCAAAATCGTGTGACTATAGACTATCTATTGTTAAAAGAACATATGGGATGTGAACAGTTTCCATGAATGTGTTGTTTTAATTTTTCTGATTTTTATCAAACTATTCAAATTCAGTTACACAATATCCATCATATTATTGATAACTTTCAAATGCCTACAGTACCTAACTGGTTTTCTTGGTTTCACTGGATATGGCTGGTAATTGTAGGTCTGCTTTTATTATGTAGCTGTATTCCTATTATATTAATGTATGTGTGCAATTTAATTAGTTTAAAAGCTATACATGCTTATGTCACTCTACAAGAAGATATGTCAAAGAAATAATCAATCTTCCCATGTTTTCTTCCGTCTGCTACTTCTATAGCTTTTCTTCTTCCTTCCTAATTACAGCCCTTTAGTAGAATTCGTGCCTCATATCAAAAATTACCAAGTATCATAATTCTTCCAAGTGGTAAAGATACCTCAAGACAAATGCTGGGCATAGAAGCCACAGGGCATGAATCTGCAAAGAAGTAAAAAGCTAACCTTTTCAAAGAATATTTCTTCTCTCTCACTTACCAACTTTACATTTCCTTGTATGGCCCCGGAAGACAGCTGGTTAGCCAGAGATGGGTAAGATTCCTCAAAGGAGGAACAACCTAAGACAGGCACAGTCACCGGGGGGCCATCAGGTGAGAAATTGGGGATCAACAGAGATGAGGCTTAGAACCTCACCCCCCATTTTGAGAGAAATCTTCTGCATCCATGGATGTTTTGTTGCCCTTGTCTAGCTTGGATTAATACTTAGTCTATAGGCACAGACCTGATCATCTACATTTGCCCTCTTACAGCACTAAATTATGTTTTCTACCTTTATCTTGCATCTACCTACCACTTCAGCATTTTATAAAAAAAAAAATAAGGGAGAAATGTGGGATTCACACATAAATCAAGTATAAAAATCAAATGAATAATCAAATCTGACTTGTTTATAGTTCATGATGCACGATCAAAACCGAAAGTTTCTGTGACATGACTGCCTTTGCACTGTTCACCATGTAAGAACTTATTCACTATGTAAGAACTTGTTCACCATGTAAGAACTTGTTTGTTATGCTTCAGGAGATTGGAGACTGTTAAGAATTAGGCTTGGGGTTGATTAATGATTGTGCATTGAGTCCCCTATACAGAATTTTATTGTTGTTAACAACCATTTGATCAATAAATATGAGAGATGCCCTCTCAAAAAAAAAAAGAGTTAAATTGTGTCAAAGGAATACTTTGATAAAAAACTTAACTGTAATAAATACTAGAACTATTGGCTGCATCAATAGTCTGTCCAAAGCTCAGTTTTAGGTTCCTAGGGCCACCTGTTTCTTTCTTCATTCAGAACAGGAAATTATTCCCAAACTATAGAAAACTTGCGTGGAAATTTTCAAAATGTGATGTCTTCACAAATGTTTTCCCTTTCCCGCACCTTGACTCCAGTCTCTTTAATCTCTGCTAAGTTAATAAGATAACACTTTTTACTACTGATTCTGTCCCAATGCAACTAACTTAGAAGGACTTGTTATTTCTCTAATATGGACACGTTCCAAAAAATGACAGTCTCATTTCATTCTCCCCACACCCTCCCAAGAGTCATGAGCTGAATGACCATTCATTCAGAAAAAGCTGTTTCAAATCCAAAGACACATAACAAGGAGAAAGTATGTTACTAGAATTGGAATTTGTACTTTGGGTCCAACTGCCCAGACTCTAAGATAAATTTTTGAAAATAAAGTTTTGCTTTATTAGAGCACTAAATCATTACCTCAGGGTTGTGTGATGCTGTTACCATGACTCCTATTGTAGATTTTGTATGTTTTGACCTCAGGACAGCTAATAACCCCATGCGAAACATGACGTGATCAAGATGTTGTGCTTTTGTTCGGAAGCCAGCAGTCCCATATTGAAGAATGAGTCCACTGGGCTTGGCATGCAATGCTGAGTGTTCTATAACCGCATCTAAATCCATGTCTACAAAATTAAGGAGTATTTTTCAGGCATAATAAGAAATCTTTCACAGACCATTTACTTCAAAAACTTCTACCCCAAACTAATAGGTCTGCCTCATTGTGAACCTCCCCCAAAAAAAGATGTTTGAGAGAGAAAAGAACGGCAAGATAAGCCCTGAGGGTAAGCGTTACATGGAAGATCCTGTACAACTTGTCCACTCCAGGGCAGATTCTGAGCAGAAATCAGATTGCCCCCCATGTGGGGTCTAAGGCCATTCCTGGGCCCAGGGCAAATTTAAAATGGTGCACTCTCGACTAAAATGAGGATTCTACACATAGATCCAGAGAATCCTACGAGATCAAAGACCACCTCATTTTACAAATGGGAAAATTTAAGTCTGAGCCTCAGTTAAATAACCCAAATTTACAGGGGCATCTGGTGACAGACTGATGCCAAAGGTCATACTCAAGAGGATTGGGACTACACATTCCAAGTATCTGGGAAATCTGTGTAGTTCTTCTGCTATTCCTCCCAAGCTACAGAGACATATTCTCAAAAGAAAAACAAAGGGCAGTAGCTTCTGCAAGACTGCCCAGGTCTCCTAATATTCCTTGAGAGGATTTTCCTACTTTCATAAGGGAGGATCAGAATATTCTTTTAATTCAAGCTCTCTAATTAGCGACATATTACTTGTACCTTTAATTTTAAAAACCAAACATCAACCGTTTGCCCACGAATACTTCCTTCTCTAGAATACTCAAATTTTAAGCCGGACGGTGGGTGTCCAACCTCAGCTGTATGCACTGTTCACTTCAGGGGTCAGGCCCATTCCCAGTTAACCTGGAGGTTAGCAGCAGTCCTACAACTGCCACCTCTCACTCCCTTGTTTTGTCCTTCATTGCTTCAGTGAACAAAAAGTTAAAGAAAACAATGAAAAATATCTGTTTTTGTCCAGCTGGAACTAGCTGGCAAGAGCAGGCTGATTTTAGTTCAGGCCAAAGTGATCAAATCTCTTTAACAAACATGAACACATTCTGTTAAAAAGTGACCAGTCGGTTATGTGTCATGACGGTTTATAAGGGCGTTAAACCAGTTTCAATTCCAAAAGTCCTTTAAAAAAATTAAAAGTTATGATAAAATGCTGCCATTTTTTAATGCAGTTTAGGTCCTAGAACTACTTTCAGTTAGTATGCTAATGCTTTTATCAGAAGTATTTCCAATCCCAACAGCGTGTACTCTAATAAAGTATTCCGTCCATTCAAATGCCGACACCTCGTTTGCTCCCCTCCTCCCGGTCCCGGACCCGCGGCCCGTTTCCCGGAACCGAACCCCCGGGGCGCCCCCGCAGACGGGAGGACGAGACCCCCGGCGGGAGAGGCCAGCCAGGCCCCGGGGCGCACGTCCGGGAACAGCCCGCCAGCCTGCCGTCCAGCCGTCAGTCGGCCGAGCCCCTGCAAACCGGGGCGTCTCCTCCTCTGGCCAGGCGCTCGAGACCCCGTTCCCCGAGCCGGAGACCGCCCTCACCTGCGCCGCGCGGAAAACCCCCGCTGTCAGCGCCCGCAGCCGCCCGGCGCCCTCAGAACCCGCGGACGTGGCCGGGCGTGACTTCCGGCTTTGCGGCCACGCCCCCAGGCCAATCGCGGAGGGGAGTGGTTCTGGGCCCCGCCCCTCGCAGGCCGTGCGAGGCTCACGTCTGCGGAACTGCGGCTCCCGGCTCTGCGCGAACTTGGGGCTCCGCCCACTGCGTGACCGAGAAGGGCGGGGCCCCCGCGGTGGCCCGAAGGGTGGGGCCGAGGGTAACGGGTCGTTGGGGCAGTGCGACCGCAGGTACGCAGCCCCTGCCTCCGTCTTAGCTCGTGGTGGGCCCCGCGTTCCCGGAAGCTGGGGTTCCCAGCGGTCACGGATGGGGATACAAGCCCTGATTTGGGGCCTCTGACACAGTAGTCTCGGCCACATCCCCTTTTCCTGCATCCCCTTCTCGGTTATCGAGGTTCATCTCCCAAACTTTAGACTCCGGGAAGCCTTCTCCGGCCACTGCCCGCTCCCCACCTCCTGGCACCAGGCTCGCACTAAACATTTATTTATGTTCCTGTAATAACCCCTAAGCCTGGCCCTTCGGAGCAGAGGCCAAGAGGATCCAAACAGGCCGGAGCTCCCAGTATGCCTCCCCGGACCGGTGTGGCTCCCGGGAGAGGGGCAAAGTCCCACCCGGAAGGAGTCCTTGCTCCGGGACTGAAGGGCGGCAGTTGGCGTTTGGGGCTGCGGGAAATCTGCACCCCGACGCGCACGCGCTGCAGGGGGCACTCTTGCCGCAACGTTCAGCTCCGCCCAAACCTGAGACGTGGCTGGGTTTAGGAGGCTAGGCCCCCTTGCCTTTCCCAGAATTGAGGCTTGCAGAGCATCGGCTGGTGCTGTTTGACAACCACCTGCAACGGAATAGCTGGGATCACTTGTTGAAAATACAGATTCCCGGATCTAGATCGCAAGCGGGGGTATCAGGGGGTGGGGAGGTTGGAAAGGACTGGGAATCTTAATTTTAACGAAGTATCTTGGGGATGTGCATACTACTAGATTTTGGGGTCAGCACATAAAGCAGGCGAGTGTAAATATCCCGGTCTGTGCCCCTAGCTCTCAGTGCATAGAGTTCCTGCAGAACTGCTTCCTCCGAAAGGGGCTTTCGGGAAATTCCGCGGGACACCATTGACATTGACGAACCCAGTGTCCGTGGGCCTTTGCAATTTTCCTGGCAGGTTGATTTTGAGGCAACATGTCCACTTCACTGAAAGAATGTCTGCAGCTTCAGCTGCTGGAAATGGAAATGCTCTTTTCTATGTTTCCTAACCAAGGAGAAATACAACTTTAAGATATAAATGCCTTGACGAATATAAAGAGATATTTGGAAGGCACCAGGGAGGCACTGCCACCAAAAATCGAATTTGTGATTACACTCCATATTGAGGGACCCAAGGTAAGTGCCCTGAATTGTTTTGTTGCCAGGTACCCAGTTTTTATTGGAAACACTTGGAACATAAGCTTTCTGTCCATGAAACAAATAAATACTCCAAATGCATGTTTGAAAACAAAATATACTGAAACATGGGATGCTCTGTAAACTGCCTTCAATAAATACCTGAAATTTACTTAAATATGAGCACCTATTTAACAAATATGCCTAGTGTTTTTATTAAAAATATCTTGCAATTTTATACTAACATTATTCTGTTCAATTATCCAGTTTTTTACCAATCCAACTATTGTGAATGGACTATCTTGTACATATATCATGATTTTCACAAATCTATATATTGCCTTTAGCAAAACTGGCTTTTAAGGAGTAAATGAATGTTTCTTTGGGGCACTATAACAGAAGCAAATACAGATAGAAAAGCTAAATACTAAAAATGAATTCACTGTCATCTTCTGATCCATTTGTCTCCAGCAACATTAGCCTAGGTGGTAAGTGGACTGACTAGGCATTTGAGAACTACTTTTCTAGCTATTTCCTGCTCATCCCTTCAACTGACATTCCCTCACAGGGGACTTCCTGGTTCCCTGGGCTGGATTCAGTCTCCTTGCTTACACATTTCAGTGGATGCCTGTACTTTTCCCTGGTAATGCTTCTCACCATTGAAATTAAATACTTGCTATGTGTAATTATGTCTGTCTCTTCACTAGGCTCTAGACTTCATGAAGAGCAAAAAACAGTGTCTACCTCTTTATGTTATCCTAGCATAATAGTACCTGGCACATGGTAAGTGTTCAATAAATCCTGGAATGGATGAATAGTGTATGTAAAGTGCTTAGTTACAGTGTCTGGCACATAGCTGAGAATAGTAGCAGTAACTATTGCACTATCAAAATCATGTAGTTGGCACTGACAAACTAGCTTAGGTGATTTTATGGTGCTTAAATTTAATTGATTTTCTTTTTAAGGTGAAAATTGGTTTGCAAGTAACCATCCCTCACAGCTACCCCTATGCAGAATTGCAGCTGTTTGGACGGTCTGAACTTGACAGACAACAGCAGCTACTTCTCAATAAAGGTCTGACTTCTTATGTAGGGACTTTTGATCCAGGTGAGCTCTGTGTGTGCACAGCAATCCAGTGGTTACAGGACAATAGTGCCTCCTATTTCCTGAACAGAAAGATCGTTTATGAACCATCTACACAAGCAAAGCCAGTTAAGAATACATTCCTCCGAATGTGGATCTACAGTCACCATATATATCAGCAGGACCTAAGGAAAAAGATTTTGGATGTTGGGAAAAGGTTAGATATGACTGGATTTTGCATGACAGGAAAGCCCGGTATTATCTGTGTGGAGGGCTTCAAAGAGCACTGTGAGGAATTCTGGCACACGATCAGGTACCCCAATTGGAAACACATTTCCTGTAAGTATGCTGAAAGTATTGAAACTGAAGGAGATGGGGAGGATCTGCACCTTTTCCATTCTTTTGAAGAATTACTCCTTGAGGCCCACAGTGACTGTGGATTAAGGAATGACTATCACATGAATCTGGGCCAGTTCTTAGAATATCTAAACAAACACAGAAGTGAGCATGTTTTCCTGGTATTATTTGGTATTGAAAGCAAAAGTTCAGACTCTTAGGAAGCTATTAAGAGCCCTCTGCTTATAATTTCACTAAGTCAGTATTTCTGTTAATAAGACCAAAATATAGGACCAGTGGCTATTTGGTGTCCTCTGTGAGAAACCTAGCTTCAGAATTTTTACCTGGTAATGAAGCCACATAGGCCTTTTAACTTCATAATGGTGCAACTGTGATGTTATCTCTGTTCTTATGTTAAATGAAGACTACTTAATTGTAAAGTAATAAAAACCAGTCAATTTAATTACTGATGTTGATTTAATTAAAGAGGAGTTCATAGCCTATAGTTAATATCAGTACTCAAGTTGTAGCTCTGAACTCAAATACAAATAACATTTTTCCCTTTCATGATGCATGCATACAGAAGACACACATTTTCTTTCTTTCATTATTGGAGGTGAATTCTAAGTTTAAAATAAGAACAAAGGAAGCATGACAAAAACATGTTTACTACATTTCTTTAAGTTAAACCCCCATTTTTATGTTTTTTTCTTTTAGTAAAACCAGATCCGAACTGTAACAGCAGAGTTATCAGTCATGAAGTCCCGAGTGTAATGAAGATGACATATAATGTTATGTGTTTTGTCTGGCTGTTTACATCAGTTGATTAATGATACTAAGAATAATCATGCCAACATTCTTAGTTGAATTCCTATGCACAAAAAATGATATGGTTTCTCATCTACAAAGTGCCCCAGGTGTAATGCATTCCGGCCTCCTTGCCCTGGCACATTGCTCTGAAGGCAAGAGCGTTGGGAGGACCAGGACAGGTGGCTCTGCACCATCTCCTTATCAAGTGCTGCATTTTGGTGTTAGTTAAGTCACTGCCATCTCATTGGAAAAGTCCAAGCTCCACACACTTCAGCAGATTTTTTACAAAATGAGTTTATAAGCCCTATTTAAGTAGCACTTGACAAACCTTTTCATTTCAAAGTACTACTCCTCCCCAGACCCTGGGAGGCTCACCTGTGTTGAGAGATGTCCTGAGCTGCCTCTCTGAAGCTTCCTCTGGTTTCACAGTCTCTGGTTAACTACTGCTGCCCTGGTAGTTAGTCCCTGACCCAGGGAGTCCCTGGCACCCCACTATGTTCTGGTCCCCACAGGATGCCAGAGCTGGGTGCTGAGATTGGTGACCTGGCGGTGAATGCCTTGCTCCATTTTGTCGTACTTTCTGTCAGGTGCGAACACTGCTGCACGTGCTGCGGGAGCTCAAAGAATTTTTGATGCAAGCACATTCTGGTCTTGCTCTCTGTGTCTAGGATGCAGACATGCATCCTCGGGCTAGGGTGAATATATAACGTAACAGCAGACCCTGCACTAAGCTGACTCTCCTGACCTTAAGGCCCTGAAATCAGGTCTACTCTGTCCTGCCTATGCTTTAATATAACTCAGAAGCATTTTCCTTTCAGGGCACAACTCAGACCTTGAAGCCAAGACCTTGTTCGCCTGCCTTGCCAGATCATCCAGTTTGCCCATCTGTGTTTTAATGCTAGCCTCGATTGTGGCTGGAGTCAAGCGAGGGCCTCGCACTTTAACCAAGGGAAGAAATAGGACTAACATTGCCAGAGATTCATTTCTTGATCTTTACCAGGACTTAACACAGTATAGGAGTGAATCTCTGTAAGACCATCAGTAAGTTTAATAGCAACAAGTTTTTAGGCCCTAAAGAGATTAACTCCATTAGAATTTTTTTCTGTGTTAAGTGCCATCCACCTTTATGTGCCTAAACCATTCCTATGGGGTTTTTCTATGATTAAATTAGCAAAAGGAGTTGACAGATAAAGAACAACAATATGGAACCAAAAATAGATTATTTACATAATAAATGAATAAATTACAGTTTATGGGTTCATTACTGCTTCGGGAGCTATTTCTGATGAAAAATTTTCAGAATTTCTTTTTACAAGCCCACAGTAATTTAATATTAACATGCAGCAATACTTTTTTTTCCTATCAGGAGCACTAATAATACACATTAATTATGGGAAAAGTATAGGTTTTGTAGAAACTCTGCATGACCATTCAAAGCTCAGCTTTGTAAGTACGGTAGACTGCTGGGATTTGTTTGCTTGGCCGAATAGGAACACATCCCACTCTCCTCCCTCCCAGCGCCCCCACAGCCCACAACACCCCACCCCCCACCCCGACACACACACACACAGCACTACAACCAACTGTCCTTTCCCTGTGGTTTGGCATTTCTGGCCTATTAAATACTCAGTTTTCAACACCTCTTTTGAGCTACCCAACCTCTGCTTTTTTGTCTAGACAACCAGAATTAGTCTCTATTGCTTGTAACTTAAGAGTCCTGTTACTGTACACAGTTATTTTTAAAGTGGTTATTTTGAAAGAATGCTCATTATAAATGTTGCAGTGTCTTTTTAAAGTTTACTGAATTAAATCAGCATTTCTTCAAGTATGTTTTTTGCTTTTCACTCCTTATTGGTCTATTATGTGTCGGTCTAAGGGCTGTGGATACTTGCCTAATGGATTGAGGAGTGAGCCAGATGAGTTTATGGACCATAACACTGTATCTTCTAAAACATCCCTACATCAAATCATATGTTGCCATATATGGCTGTTTATACACCATCTATCTCTTCTGAGAACATGACAAGGCCCTGAAGGAGCCTGTTTGCGGTGTCCAAGGAACCCTTTTGAACAGAACAATTTTCTTCCATTTGCTTTTATCTCAAGTAGCCCAGTAATAAGTTGAAAAGAATAGCTATTTTCCAAAAAAGGCGTGGTTTGCTCAAAAATTCTTGTTTTACAGAGAATCCTGTTTGCCTCAAAACTCTGAGCCCATTAGATCTCCCTTATAAGGCCCAGATGGTAAACTGCTCTCAGTGTGGCATGGACCAGCTGGAGAGGCCTTTCTTTTTTGAGCCCACCTAAAAAAGCATTTGGATCAACTCATAAATTGGTTTGAGCAGGAGACACAAAATTCAAAGACTACCAATCAATCCCTGAGGGCCCTCCTGAGCCACAGGTAAAACAAAGCACACGATTTGTTCACTGCAATGGAGGGCACATCCCAGCATGCATCAGACTGCACCTCCACAGATTTGCTGAGGTGGCTGACTTTTATATTTTCATGGGATCTTAGCAGGTATTCAGGGAACCTAATGACACCTGTGCTCCAGGGCCTCTGAGCATATCATTATCACTGTGTGAGACCAGTGCAGTACCCTGAACCATGGTGAGATGATTAAGGTCTTGTATCAAGAGCTATATTCTGTAACAGACTCAGAAAGCTAATGAAACATTGAAAAAAGACAATCTGTAATGTTCCTTACTGACAGCACAAACTGCATCAAGGACCCTCTACTTACTAAAATAAAAGAAAAATTAACAAAAAAGCATTGGCCAAATTAAGAGCCACCTACACATTTGCTCCAACAGAACTTGTCTCACAGCAGCTACTGATGGCATCATTTCTCATTAATTTAGTGAATAATATGCTGCACTTCTTAAGTGCAGTTTCCTGCACATGCCAAAGAACATCTTAAGTCAAGATGTGGTAAGACTCAAACCCCTGCTTCTTTTAAAACTTTTGATGGTGGGACTTAATCTTGGCATTTGGTACTTCCTGCCAGAATGAACTTTTTAATGCATCAGGGAACCAATGTAGAGATATTTTCATAGATGATGAACAAATCAATTCTAGCTCTCCCTTTGGAAAATAACTAGAGAACGGATTATTTCTGTAGCATACACTTAATCCCATAGATCACAATGGTTTCTGAGATCCCAGAAATGTGTCTTTGATCAGAGTTGACGCCAGATGATTTCCAAAAGACATAGTGGCTTCCTTTCTGCAGTGCATTGTTATCCTAGTAATTAAAGCCTGAAAGGAAGACTTTGGAAACAGTTTTATTAGAGTTCTTCACCTTAGGGATCTTTCATTCCCACTGTGCACGGCAAGTTGATGAGAGCCTTGGCATTATCTTTGCAGCTCTGCTCAAGGTTTCCTGTTGATACTGTTAACACATATCAAGTAGGACCTACATGGGCTGCCCACATATTTGGTTCTAAGCCAAGCTAATATTCAACTGATACACACCAGTATAGCTGTAACAGCTGTATACACTGGCACTTATTTTCCTTGGTCAGTACCTGTTGTTAAATATTTTTTATCCTAGTTATTAAATTTTTCAACATCATTTCAGCAATAGGGCCCTGTGGTTTACTGAACACCACCAAAGATTTCTGTAGGCCAATGATTCCAATCACACTAGACCTGCTTACTATTACCATAAATGTTTACCCCTTGTCTCCAGATGTTAATCACTGCAAAGTGCTACTGAGCCTCTATTAACCCCAAAATTCTGAGGTCTCCATTGAAACAGGGTGCCCATTTTAAACACAGCATTTCCCACAACTTCTCCAGCTTACAGAAAAGTCATTAAAATGTTTTTCATTTCCTCAACAATATATTAGTAAACCGAATCCAACAATACATTAAAAGGATCATACACCATGATCAAGTACAATTTATTCCAGGAATGCAGGGGTGGTTCAACATTAACAAATCAATGTGATATAGCACATTAATAAAATGAAGGACAAAAGTCATCTGATTATATCAATAAATGCAGAAAAAGCATTTGACAGAATTCACCATCCATTTATGATGAAAACTCTCAAAGTGTGGAACATACTTCAACATATATATAGAGAGAACATACCTCAATGTAATAAAGGGCATATATGACAAGCCCACAGCTAATATCATACTTAGCAGTAAAAATTAAAAAGCTTTTCCTCTAAGATCAGGAACAAGACAAGGATGCTCACTCCTACAACTTTTATTCAACACAGTGCAGGGAGTCCCAGCCACAGCAATCAGATAAGGAAAGGAAATAAAAGGCACCCTAATCGGTTAGGAAGATTTAAAACTGTCTCTAATTGCAAAAGGCATGATATTATTTATATAACATCTTAAGGACTCCACCAAAAAACTGTTAAAATAAATGAATTCAGTAAAGTTGTAGGATACAAAATCAATATAGAGAAATATGTTGCATTGCTATATACTAATGAACTATCAGAGAAATTAAGAAAAAAACCCATTTACAGTTGCATCTAAAAGAACAAACTACCTAGGAATAAGTTTAACCAAGGAAGGAGGTGAAAGACCTGTACTCTGGAAACTATAAGACACTGGTGAAAGAATTTAAGAGGATACAAGTAAATGGAAAGATATTTTATGCTCATGGATTGGAAGAATTGATATTGTTAAAATGCCCATACTATCTACAGCAATCTACAGATTCAGTGCAATCCCTATCAAAATTCCAATGGCATTTTTTCACAGCAATAGAATATACCAACCTAAAATTGTATGGAACCACAAAAGATGCCAAATAGCCAAAGCAATCTTGAGAAAGAAGAACAAAGCTGGACACATCAGCTCCCTGATTTCAAACTATATCACAAAGCTAGAGTAATCAAAGCAGTATCACATTGATATAAAAACAGACAAATATATCAATGGAACAGAATAGAGCCCAGAAATTAACTCATGCATATATCATCAATTAATTTATGATGAAGGAGACAAAAACATACAATGGGGAAAGGACAGTCTTTTCAATAAATGATGCTTGGAAAACTGGACTGCCACATACAAAATGATGAAACTGAACCATATCTTACACCATACACAAAACTAACTCAAAATGGACTAAAGACTTAAATGAAAGACCTGAAACAGTAAAACTCCTAGAAGAAAACATAGGCAGTAATAAGGTCTTTGCGGCTAGTCTCGATGATGATTTTCTGGATTTCACACCAAAAGCAAAGGCAACAAAAGTAAAACTAAACAAGTAAGTTAAACTACAAAGCATGTGCACAGTTAAGGAAACAATCAGCAAAATGAAAAGGCAACCTATTTTACAAATAAATGGAAAAAATTATTTGTAAATCATATATCTGATAAGGGGCTAATATCCAAAATATATAAAGAACTCATACAATGCAATAGCAAAAAAATCTGATTAAATAATAGGCCAAGGACATGAACAGATATTTTGACAAACAGATAGCCAACAGGTACATGAAGATGCCCTATGTCACTAATCACCAGGGAAATGCAAATCAGAACCATGTGAGAGATCACCTCACACCTATTAGAAAGGCTATTATCAAGAAGACAAAAAAAAAAAGCTTTGGCAGGGATATGGAGAAAAGGGAACTGTTGGCGGATATTAAATTGGTACAACCACAATGGAAAATGGTATAGAGGTTCCTCAAAATAGAATTTAAAATAAAAATTAAATTAAAAATAAAACTATCATATGATCCAGCAATTTCCTTTCTGGGTATTTATCTGAAGAAAATGAAAACACTTAATTGGAAAAGAGATATGCACCCCCCATGTTCACTGCAGCATTATTTACACAGCCAAGACATGGTAACAACAGATAAGGTGTACACCGAATGCAATGCTACTCAGCCATAAAAAAGGAATAAAAATCTTGCCATTTGTGGCAACATGGATGGACCTTGTGTTGGAGGCATTATGCTAAGTGAAATAAGTCAGACAGAGAAAGACAAATACTGTATGATTTCTCTTATATGTAGAATCTAAAATATATATATATTTATACTTATATTTACATATATATCAGAGTCAGCTCATGTTGATACAGAGAACAGATAGATTGGTGGTTGCCAGAGGTTGGGGGTCGGGGATGGGCAAAATAGGTGAAGGGGCAAATGGTACAAATTTCCAGTTATAAATAAACAATGGGGATATAATGAACTGCATGGAGACTACAGTTAATAATACTGTACTGTATATTTGAAAGTTGCCTAGAGAGTAAATCTTAAAAGTTCTTATCACAAGAAAAAGAACTGCATATATCTCTGTATGGGGACAGATATTAACTAGACTTATTGTGATGATCATTTTTCAATATAGACAAATATCAAATATCAAATCTCTGTTGTACCCTGAAACTAATATATGTTAATTATAACTCAACTTTTAAGAAATGGTGTTCATGGATGATGCTGTTACCTTCTCAAAGCCTTAGTGAAAGGAGGGTCACTGACAGATCCTCTTGGGATGCTTAGGGGGTCATTGGGATTAGGATGGTCTGACACCATCACATTCACTCCAACATCTGATTGACAACAAATCCATTTCCACTCTCCTATCTTTGAAAATCTTTGAATTCCCTTATATTTTTCCAAGGAGTGTTTACATTAATTTCATTTAATGTGGGCCATCATGAAGTCTACATTTCAGTTAACTAACTGAACCAACAAGTAGGACACTTCCAACTGCTCCAGGCAACACGTGAATGCAGAATCTGCGGCCAAGTGCACCCCTATCAATCAGTTCTGCCCAATCCAAAATTATACTTCTGCTTCCTCAGTACAATATTTTCAGAATCCCATGCATTTGTCCTCAGGTTTTGCAAATATAAATGAACAAAGTCAGAATTCTTTTGTTGTGAGTCTTCTCCTGCTGCATCTGCCTCTTTAATCATATGCCCCACAGCTCCTTTCCATGCTGAAGTCAGGTGTGTAGAGATAGGTGGAGGAATGTGCAGGGAGCTGGTGGTATACCGGGTGAGGTCATTACGGGTGTCAGCAAGGCAGTAACAACCTCTTAGACAGGAGAGTCTTTAATTAGTAATGAAGGACATGTCAACTGTTCTGGTTTGCCCAGGGCCAAGCGATTTCCTGGGACACAGGACTTCCAGCACTCAAACCTGAGCTACTGCTAATTCTACTTTAAGCTATAGGAAGTCCTCCAAATCCATCTCTGAAAAAGCAGCCACACTATCCCACAGTCCTGGATTTCTTTCCCTGTTACACTGTTTTATGGCAGCAGCCATTCATCAGGCAAAACCTTCCCATCCTTAGATAACGCATTATATCATTTATTTACTTCATGTTTGTGCTTTTGAAGTCCCAAAGACATTATATTTAGGCCTTTAAATCCATCTAAAGTCTACCTTTTTATATAGTGTAAAACAGTATCAGTAGATTCAACAAGTTACTTAAAATACCTACTTCACAAGATAAATCTAGGGACTACATTAAATAAGATAATGTGTACAGAACATGAAACCTAGTAAGTAATCATCTAGCACTTGTTTCATTATCTTTCTCTGAGGACAAGAAAGAAGCTCATCATCATAGCACACAAAAATCTTCACATGCAGTAAGTGAATGAAATTCATACTGAAATTAGTTACTAGAATACTTTAAAAACTCATAATACTCTGTCATATGACTGCCAAGACCAAGCACTATCATTTTTAAATGTGACATTTTAAGAAAGATAGTTTATAATTTTATGCTTTTATTTTAACTTTTTGTATGCTTTAATTTTGCATAGGTGAATACATTTAGTTAGAGCACAGACAACATGGAAAGAGACCAGAAACAGGCATTCTGGATCTTTTCAGGAAAACTATATTGAGGAAACACTTCACTAAATGTTACCTTCAAATACCACCCCTTCTATTCACATTTATGACAATTTGTGTAACCTTCAACTTTCAACAAAATCATAGTTATCTTGAACATCTTCTTATATTCTTTAAAAGCATTACTTCATAAACAGAAAATTCTCCAAATAATTCTACAATAAATAGCAAATGTTATTGCACCTGAACTTAAGCATTTCAAATTGTTTCCACTGGTTCAATTATTAGTTTCTTAAAGTAAAACTTGAAATTAATATTAATTTGTGGGCCGTAACTACTGAAGGTAATTAGAATTTTTTAGTATCAGACATAAGGGTAATTTCTAATATTGGAGAAGTAGTTACAAAACTTTCTCCAAACTCTGAGGAAAGTGAGTTTATTGTAACACGGTGAGCTCATGATTCTCTAAGCTAATCAAGGGGACATTCGGGCAGATCACTCAAGTGGGAACCCAGCTTGTCTGGAAACCACGCTCTTGCTCCAGATTCTGGAGATCTTTGTCTTAAGGAGTCTGCTCCACAGGCAGCCCTCTCTCGAGGAGCTTCCCTACTTTGCCCCAGCTCTGCCCACTGCTCAGGCTTTGCTGAGCGGAAAGGACCGACCTCAGCAAGGGGACCGCAGCCCACACTGGCCTGGGAGCACTGGCGCGGAGCTGAGGGACTGGGTGTTCAGTCAGGGGAAAGAAAGGAGCTTTCAGAAGGAAGGGATTTCTGACCGAGGATCATGGTGATAAGAAAACATAACAATGGTGAAAGAATATTAAAATCTAAGGCTACACAAGGCATTATAAGCAGCAATTAACTTTCTTAGAAATGTTAGAATTCAGTTGCACAAAAAGAACAAATATAATTTAGGATTGGAATAAAAATACCTGAGAAGTTTTTCTCTAGGCAACAAAATGTTGTGTCTGTTTTTACTAAATGTTCATTTATGCCTACATTCATTTCTACCTTTACTTAAAAAAAAGATTTTTAATAAAATGGCCAACAAAAGAATTAAGGGTTTTTACTGATCATATCAATTTATTACTAATTTTGGTCTTCCCATTAGTTCCCTATAAAAAAAGATTAGTTTCTCAGTAATAGACGCAATAATTTTTAAAGAGAACTTGGGCAAAGTAATTAAGATAGAAACCGTAAATAACCAGAAAATAAATGAAGCAAAATTGTTTAGTATGGTATTTACCCTAAAGTATATTAATATTCTTCCATCACTTTTTAGATTCTTAAAGTAAAATCATCTTAATCCAGCCTACTATGAATCATTATAAAAGATTCCAATCTTTAAAAATTATGAAAGACTTCAAGATCTTGTTAATGGAGTTAGAAATGTCAGCTATTATGCTATTGGTCAAGCTTGGTCTGTATTTTCTGCGCCTCCTCAGGCCAAGAGTAACAATCAGGTAGAATCTGGTCATAATCAGTGCTATACACCTGAGAGCGGACAAACGCTTCCTTGTCTGGGGGTTCAGGATAAACTGTGGCTGTCATTTCTTGGTAAGCATCTTTCACAATCTAGAAATAAGAAAAGAATATTAATTGTTTTAGTGAATAGAGCTGACGGTGAGCAAATACCAGAAGATTTTGTTTCAAAAATTAATTTATAATTCGTATCTTGTCTGTTTCCAAAAAACAAATTAGGTTGTATTATAACAAAAGCACACAAAGAGGATAGAAAATGAAAATGCACTTATAAAGCATATTGCAAGAGGAAAAAATAACACCAGTGACAAAGGAAAGTGTGAATAGCAGAGATTTATTCAAGTATGATCATACCAGGCTTTCTCAGGCAATCCAGTGGTAAAAGTCTTGACGTGACCCAACTGATAATTAACTTGAACTGAAGACCTTAATACTCCTGCTAAGTTTGAACTTAGACACCCTGCAGTTTCAAACACTACTCATTCTGACCGCAACATCCTACAGAACCTCTACCCCAGGGTCTCCGGCCCTGCTCGCCCCACCAGCCCCCCGGCCCGCAAGAGTGCCCACGGCTGCACCACGGGATCTCGCCCCGATGTCCGTGGGTTACATGCACCATTCTAGCCCCCAGTCTGGGGGAACCTCGGGGGTGGGCTCTCTCATGACTGTTTCCTGTGACGTCATTCTTTCCCCAACATTACTCGGGCCTATGTGGTTGTACATAAAAATGCTTTTATCATTTTTTTTGACTTTCTCTCTTAGTCCCCACAAGGCACTTTCAAACACTCCCCCTGTCAAGTCGCCATTTGATTTTCATCACTTTGCTGAGAAAATTTCCACTAATCAAAGAAAACAATCTCAATTTCCCTTCTCATCAATTCAAACTACCTCCTCTATATCTTTATTGTCTCTTGCCCTACTTTCTTTGAGAAAAATGTCAAAACTAATCATTCCATATATGCTCTTTAAATTCACTTCAGTTTAGACAGGCGATTACTGAGAAGCTGTTTGTATAATAGACTTATTTGGGTAAGTATGATTCTGAATAATATTAGAATGATTCAGCATCTCTTCTTAATGTACAACCATAAATCTATGAAAATTTATAAGACTGTCATATTATGGAAAAATGTTTATTAAAAAGGCAAGAAACAAAAGCATGCTTATGCCATGATTATAATGATGTTAGAAAACAAACAAAAAAAGGCTGGATGTAAGCACAGTAAGAAGATAATGATTATGTTAGAAAACAGAAATATCAGACATTGTCCTCTTTTCTGTTTTCCAAAGTACCTAATGAAGTGGTGTATTATTGCTTTTTAATGGCTTTTTTGAGGTGTAATTCACTAACCACAAAATTCAATCATTTTAATTATCCAATTATGTTATTTTATAAATTATGGAGCTACGTAACTGTTACCCCATACAGTTTCAATTTTGATCACCCCAAAAAGATCCCTTGTACTTGTTTGCAATGACTATATTACTTTTACAATAAAATGTATCATTTATTCCCTGACACAGACTGTATGGAAGTCCATCCTCCCCCTACTCCCAGGACACACTACAGCAATGATCCCTCAGTGAAGTCTTCACTCTCTCTTTTTTGTCAATGCCAAATTCTCTGGAAGAGTGGCTCATATTTTGATACTTTCCTAATTCTCCCTAGACTTCTGAACTTTTAATATTGAAATTGCTTCTGTAAAAGTTTCTGATGACTTCCTAATAGCTACATATAAGTCTTCATCTGTTCTTCCACAGTTTAGCTCTGCTGGTCACAACTCCCACCCCCAATCCTGAAATGGCATCGTCTCTAATTTCTGACTTGCTGCTTCACTCTGAGTCTCTACTTAAAATCCTGACCACTTCTCTTCCTCACTGGCTTCTTTCTTCTAGACAGAATACAAGCTCCTCTCTGTACTTCATTTTCTTTCCTTTCTACAACTGCTCTCTTGGTAACGCCGACCAGTCCTAGAATCTCACCCATAACAGATGTACATAAGTCCCACAGCTATGTGTCTGGCCTCTCTTTAAATCTACTTGTCAGACTCATGCAGGTGAACGTGCCCCTGAGACCCCAAACTCGCAGCCTACTCACATCATCTTCCTCCCTGAAGGTGATTCTTTGTCCTGGTTTCCCAGTGCTGTCCACGCACCCACCAGTCTTTCATCATTCTGGATTTAACAGCTGAGTCCTTCTTACTATTCTCTTACTTACTCTCTCCTCTAATCATATGCTCTTTTTCATTTAAATCTTCAAAACAAACTTAAAATGATAATGTACTTATACAGTGTTATAATTCAAACTAGTTTAAAACTAGTAGATTCAAATTAGTAGAAAATATGAGAACAGTCTTTCACAAATCAATAACCAAGCAAATAAAGTTCTGGAGAAGGATTACTTAGTTTTTGAAGCATCTACCTTCCATCAACAGGATAAATAATGATTACAGGAATCCTGAAATATGTTGTTTTAATAAACTTGATAACAGCTTTGATTTTCAACCAGAAGCAACTCTGCCTGAGGGGACACAGGCGATATCTGGGGACACTGCTGTCTATCACAATCGTGCAGAAGCATATAGTGGGCAAAGGTCAGGATGTGCTAAGCATTCTACCATGTTCCAGAAAACCCCCACAATCGGTATCCATCCAAAATGTACACAGTGCTGAGGTGTAATTCACTAACCACAGAATTTTTTCTGTCATAACCCTGAGTCATATTGCAGGTGGGATTTTAATTTTACAGAGATTCTGGATTATCTGAATCACCTAACCTCAGTGTTTGCTATCTCCAAACCATTCCCTCTCTCTAAAGTGTTCTTAACACTTATATTAAGTCTTCTTAAGCCCTAATTTAAACATGTAACTTCCACTAAGGACCGACCTATGTCACCAAAATTCATACGTACTAACCCCTGGGACCCCAGGGTGTCACTGTATTGGGAGATTGGGACTTCAAAGAGGCAATCAAGTTAAAATGCGGCCATTGCATTGCCCTAACCCAAGCTACTAGAGTCCTTATAAGAAAGGCAAATTTGGACATATAAAGCGACGGCAGGGATGTCCAGGCACAGAGAAGAGGCTATGTGAGGACACAGGCGGAAGGCGGTCCTACAAGCCGAAGAGAAGCCTCCAAGGACGCTGAACCTTCAGCCCCCTAATCGTAGATTTCTAGCCTTCAGAACTGTGAGGAAAAAAAATTCTGTTGTGTAAGCCATCCAGTCTGTGGTATTTTGTTATGACAACCTTAGTAAACTAGCGCAACCATATTGCAAGAAAGTCCATTCTCATCTTAGCTATAGAAATGTCCTGCCTTTAGGTTCTTGGCTCCTTTCTTCAGTAATTCGTCTGCTACCCCAAAATCTCTGAGTTCTCTGCCCTCGTTGTTTTGCCTTCTGCCCAGTGTTATCAACTGTGGTCTTTAAGATGCCGTACATCATGAAGACATGGATTAGGCAGACGGCTCAAGGTCTAAATGTCTACAATATCGGCAATATTTTGGAGACTATCACAAGTGTAATATGCAAAATAACAACTTAAAAAAGATGAAGCAGGGGACCTAGCTGAAAGGAAATCCTAATAAATTATTTAAATAATGGGAGAGAAAAAATTATGACAGGAAAATTAATGATTCAGCCCAATTTTTCTATTCCAAAGGAATGGTTCCCAAGCTATGCTGAGGCACTGTGCCTCATTTCTCTGACTTCTGACAAAGTATGTTGATTCAAGTACAACTCTCAAGGAATTTTTAGTACCTAAAAATGCATATTTAGCAATAGAAGGAAGACTAATGAGGCTTAAACAAGAGTGGGTTTACCTTTTCTGCGATTTTCAGAGAAACATCTCTAATGGTGTTCAAAGGTGGGTAGAGCCGGCCCTCTTCCAAGTGCTTATCTGACACTTGCTGAGCTATAACCTTTAAAAAAGGAAACAAAAATGTTTATACTTCACACCGGACAACGCAGTGGTCCTGTGGTATCTGGGTGAACGGCCGCGTGTATGGCCGTGTACAGAAGCAGGCCGCATTAATACAACCCCCTAATTCCTACTCCCCCTTTATCACTGCGCCCACGGAGGCTCGGTGATTCGGGGCGTCGCGCCACTACCAGAAAGCCTCCGAAGGAGTGGGATCTGGGATTCCTCATGACCCAGGTCCTTTTCTACTGTACATGAAATCTGGAAGCTTTTCCACTTGATACACTACGGGGACAGAAGAGAAAGGCAGGCAGAGGAGGACAGCAGGAGTGAAGGAAAAGGATCCTGAAAGCAGGGAGGGCAGGTGTCTAGGGCTGACCACGCCATGACTCCCACCCACAAATTCTCGCCGAGGAGGCAGAGCAGGGGGCAGGGAGAGCTATTTCAGAGTCATATAGCAGGTGGGATTTTAATTTTACAGAGATTCTGGATTATCTGAATCACCTAACCAGCCTCAGCGTTTGCTCTCTCTAAATAAAACAGTGCATACTTAGATATTTGCCAAAAGGGTAGATTTTATGTTGTGTTCTTATCACACACACACAAACAATAATAATAAAGAGGGTGGAAAAAAACTTTTGGAGGTGATGTTTATGTCTATGGCATAGATCATGGCAATGGTTTCACAGGAGTATACTTATCTCCAAACTCCTCAAAAAAATTTTTTTTGGTATCATTAATCTACAATTACATGAAGAACATTATGTTTACTAGGCTCCCCCCTTCACCAAGTCCCCCCCACATACCCCTTCACAGTCACTGTTCATCAGCGTAGTAAGATGCTGTAAAATCACTACTTGTCTTCTCTGTGTTGTACAGCCCTCCCCGTGCCCCACACACAATATACATGCTGATCGTAAGGCCCACTTTCTTTTTCCCCGCCCTTATCCCTCCCTTCCCAGCAATCCTTCCCAGTCCCTTTCCCTTTGGTAACTATTAGTCCATTCTTGGGTTCTGTGATTCTGCTACTGTTTTGTTCCTTCAGTTTTCCTTTGTTCTTATACTCCACACGAGTGAAATCATTTGGTACTTGTCTTTCTCCACCTGGCTTATTTCACTGAGCATAATACCCTCTAGCTCCATCCACATTGCTGCAAACGGGAGGATCTGTTTTTTTTCTTATGGCTGAGTAATATTCCATACTGTGTATGTACCACATCTTCTTTATCCATTCATCTACTGATGGACATTTACGTTGCTTCCATATCTTGGCTATTATAAATAGTGCAGCAATAAACATAGGGGTGCATCTGTCTTTTTCAAACTGGAGTGCTGCATTCTTAGGGTAAATTCCTAGAAGTGAAATTCCTGGGTCAAATGGTATTTCTATTTTGAGCATTTTGAGGAACCTCCACACTGCTTTCCACAATGGTTGAACTAATTTACATTCCCACCAGCAGTGTAGGAGGGTTTCCATGTCC